GAAACGGGGCTCAAAGGAAAATGCAGAAATGGCCACGCCACAGCTGCATCTCCCCCAGTGCTCCCAGTCCCGTCCTGGCGTCTCTCGGTGACCCCCAGCCCTTCCCGGCGACCCCCAGCCCCGGTGACCCTCGGCCCTCCAGCTCCTCAACCCTCCTGGTCCCCAGCGAATCGACGACCTGTTCCTCGCCCAGCCGGCTCGTCGACGCCCCAGAGCAACCAAGCTTCGTGGAGGCCTTGGTGCTCGTTGGCGACAGGCCAAACAGGCGGTTGCCCAGCCATGCCCAGAGATTTGGGGCACCGTTTGACGTACGCCGAGCGATGCGACTTGGCGTTTCGATATCAAACGTCGAAAGGATATCAAGACGTCGAACGTCGAGTGTTGAGACGACATGTTGTCGTGTTGTTGTGCTTGCTGCTTGGTGTTGAGGGGCAGGCTGATGCCGACACGGCTGGGGTGAATTGGAGAAGGTCGCAGTCAGGTGGAGTCGAGCCCCAAGGCCACTGGGCAGTGGAGCTGAGTAAAAGTCGCCCGTCTGCCGAGAGAGATCCCCCCCCTCGATCACTGGCAGTTCCTTGCCCCTCACGCCCCGACACCCCGATTTTTGAACACCCTCTCCCTCCAGAGTCGGAAACTGGACAGCGATCCCTCTCTGCGAGACGGGCCCGCCGCGATGGTGCAAGAACTCGTCAGTCAATAGCTTCCGGGGGGACTTATCTCTGGCGAATTGCTGTCGAGAACTGGCCACAATGACCACCCTCCCCCGGTTCCAATGCCATTCCGGACACCGTAGGAAGCCCGGCCCTGCATGTCCTGCAGCGTGCAGTCAAGTCAGGATGGGGGCAAGAGTAGCAACCCGCGTTCGCATACCCTGGTAGCGGTCTTTGCCGCCCTCTCTGGCCTCTCAGGCGCGTGGGTTCCACCGCCAACTTTCGAAATTGTCGCTCCTGGTGCGTTCCCATGTGTCATGGCTACCCGCATGACGGGGATGGTCCAGAGGTCCCCTCAGCCCCGAGAAGACGCAATCCCGCCGTCCGCTCTCGGCTGCTGCACACACCCCACCAGTGGCTTGCTTGCTCCGAGGTCGACTTCTCCATCCCAACCGCACCTCAACCCGCGCGGCCACCAAGCCTTGCGAATATATAAACCACCCCCTCTCGTGCACGGGGAGTCGTTGTCGGTTTGTTGACCTCGCATCCTCTTCGGTCCCAGGTTCATCCCCGCCCGCACCCGCAACCATGGCCCCGACCCAGTTTGGCGATCGCGTCAAGCGATTCTTCGGCATCGACGAGGACGACAGACTCGACGACCACGACCTGTTTGACGATGGCTCCTTTGTCGAAAAGGAACCCTCCGTCAGGGACGTCATCGTGCACTTCCTTCCCAGCGTCGTCGGCATCCAGTCATACCTCAAGGAGCTGTTTCCCTTCTGGAACTGGATCTTCCACTACAACCTGACGTGGCTGCTCGGCGATGTCATTGCCGGTGGGTGCCTCCGCTCCAATCATGCCGGAACGTGCTGACAAGAACAAGGTGTGACGGTTGGCTTCGTTGTCGTACCACAGGGCATGGCGTACGCCCTCCTCGCTCAGCTGCCACCCGAGTTCGGGCTGTACACGTCTTTCGTCGGCTTCATCTTGTACTGGGCGTTTGCGACGTCAAAGGACATCACCATCGGTGTAGGTTGGCCTCGGATGCTTGTGCGCCTCGGCCCGGCTAACGTCTAAAAGACCGTGGCAGTCATGTCGACCATTGTCGGAAATATCGTGCTCAAGGTGCAGGAGACGCATCCCGATATGGCGGCCGAAGTCATCGCAAGGGCCCTGGCTCTGATCTCGGGCGCCGTGCTGCTCTTCCTCGGTCTTATTCGCTTCGGCTTCCTCGTCGAGCTGATCCCTCTGACGGCCATTGGTGCCTTTATGACAGGGTCAGCCATCAGCATCGCAGCAGGCCAGGTCCCCAACCTGATGGGCATCAAGGGCATCAACACGCGTCAGGAAGCATACCTCGTCATCATCGACACCCTCAAGGGCCTCCCCAAGACCAAGCTCGACGCGGCGATGGGCCTGTCGTGCCTCTTTGGCCTCTATGCGATCCGCATGTTCTGCTCGTACATGGGCAACCGCTACCCGAACAAGAAGAAGATGTGGTTCTTCATCGGGACGCTGCGCATGGCCTTCATGACCATCCTGTACATTCTCGTTAGCTATCTGGCCAACCGGAACGTCAAGGACGCATCAAAGGCCAAGTTCAAGATTCTGGGCAAGGTCCCTAGCGGTGAGTCAAGACGTACCTTTGGAAGGAGCAGCGAGCCGTGACTGACAATTTCCACAGGTTTCCAGCACCATGGCGCCCCCCGGCTCGACTCCGAGGTCCTCGGCGCCATCGCCAGCGACATCCCCGTCGTGATTCTCGTGCTCATCATCGAGCACATTGCCATCTCCAAGAGCTTCGGTCGCGTAAACAACTACATAATTAACCCGAGTCAGGCATGGGAATATCCCTTTTCCTCTTCTCCGGATGATCATCTGCTGACTTACTGAAATCAGGAGCTCGTCGCCATCGGCTTTACCAATCTCTTGGGTCCCTTCCTCGGAGGATACCCCGCGACTGGCTCGTTCTCGCGAACGGCCATCAAATCCAAGGCAGGCGTGCGCACCCCGCTGGCTGGCATCTTCACAGCCGTCATCGTGCTGCTGGCGCTGTACGCCCTGACCTCGGTCTTCTTCTACATCCCCAGCGCCTCGCTGTCGGCCATCATCATCCACGCCGTGCTGGACCTCATCACCCCGCCGCGGGAGGTGTACAAGTTCTGGCAGACATCGCCCCTCGAGGTCATCATCTTTTTCGGTGGTGTCTTTGTCTCCATCTTCACGTCGATCGAGAACGGCATCTACACCACCATGGCAGCCTCGTTCGCCGTGCTGCTGTTCCGCATCGCCAAGAGCCCCGGTCGCTTCCTCGGCAAGGTCCACGTGCACTCAGTGTCGCGCGACAGCGTCCGCGGTGGCGCCAGCGTCGGCCAGGATGTGGCGGCGGGCGAGGGCAAGTCGCACCCGGCGTTCCTGCCGCTCGACAAGTCCGACCTGGCCAACCCCGAGATCGAAGTCAGGTCGCCGCACCGGGGCGTGTTTGTGTACCGCTTCAACGAGGGACTCAACTACGTCAACTGCGCGCGCCACCTCGACCAACTGACCGTGTACATCTACAAGCACACCCGCCGGACGCAGCTCAACAAGTACGAGAAACTTGGTGTATGTCTCCCATCCCTGCCTTGCTACGCCCTGCAAATGACTGACTTGCGAATGACAGGACCGCCCGTGGAACGACCCCGGCCCGCGCCGCGGCCAGACTGAGGACTCGGAGGAGATTGCCGCCCGCCCCATCCTCCGGGCGATCATCCTCGACTTCACAGGCGTGGCGTATCTTGATGTCACGGCCACCCAGGCGCTCATTGATATTCGTAACCAGTTCAATCGCTATGCCGAGCCCGAGGTGGTCGAGTGGCACTTCACGGGCATCTCGAGCCGCTGGACCAAGCGAGCCCTCGTGGCGGGCGGGTTCGGGCCCGATCGGAAACGTGCCGGCGGCGCAGACGGCGAGAAGGGCGTCCCAGGCGGCCCGCTGATTGCTGTCGGGCGCGCGATCGATGACGGTGATGCTGCGGCCCCCGCGCCACGGGACGAGAGGCGGGACGAGAAGAGGGTCGACCTCGAGGCGGGCGAGATCTCACCCGTGTCGTCGGCGCGCGGCAGCGGTGGTCGGCTCGTGCCGCTGTACGGGATCAACCGGCCGTTCTTCCATGTGGACCTGGAGACGGCGCTCAAGGCGGCGGTCAAGAACCTCGAGGGGGATTCGTCCGAGTCGAATTAAGGGATGGTCGTTTTGGGTCGGGTAGCGTGTGGGACTTTGGCTTTCTCTTGGATTTGGGGGTTTTGTTTGCAAAAGATACCAGATGGCTTCGCGTTGTCGTCGTGCTGCTGAATTTAATCATCATCGTTTTGTTTCTGATCAAATTATGCGTCGTCCGTCCTGGTGTCTGTGGTTGTGCAAGCGTGACGTCGCCGTGTCGTCGAGGGAGGGACGGGACTTCATGGTTGGATGCTTGTGCCCGTGTCGCGTGTTGTGCCGTGGAGTGCCGTGTCGAGCCGTGCTGTATCTCGAACCTCGTCCATCGTGTCAATCCCACTCGTTCGGTCGGTCGGTCGGTCGGTCGCTCCGTCGCAAAAATGTCGTCGCCGTCGTCGTCAATCGCAAAAACTTCACTGGAACATGCAAGCAAGGGCCGTCATGGGCGACACCCAGTTTAAGAAGCATCGGCAACCGAAGGCCGCGGCCTTGCCGCCGCGAGCGCCGCCGATTGCCGGCAAACTGACAGGGTCAGGATGCACCGAGAGCCGGGCCACGAGCGGCTGTCGGTCGCCCCACATCGAGCCCGCCGTACCGGGCGCTCACCGAGTGCCGGCCGCCGCTGCACCAAGACAGGACCAAGGCCTGGATTTCGTAAAGGTTGACACATCGGGGGTGTTGACGCCATTTTCAAGGCATGGGAGAGGAGGGGAAGGTCAATTGTGCATGGGATTTTTCACCAGTGTTTAATGCATGGGGTTGAGGTCTTCTTCAAATGAGTTGGTAGGGCTGGGCGAGGGAGGGGAGGGGTTCAGCGGCTGGAGATGGTAACGCCATATGACTCGTGAGCTTATTCTGTCAAGAGAGTCTCATGAAGACTCATTGAAGAGACATGGAGCTCTGATTAAAGGAGGGTTTCGTCAACCTAGAGTACTGGATTCGACTGCCATCCCATTCCATACAGTTGCACCCCCCATGCTACATCTGCACGTACTATGTAGGGCGCATCTCCCGGACTTTGCACTCTTGTGGACCCGGCAAAAATCCGACACGAAACCATCAAAGACCATTTCCATCATATCCCCGACCCTGTCGATGGCCCCAACGTCCATGAACGTAAATAACCCAAATTACATAATATTCTCTGAGAAGGCAGCTTGGCCGAGTGGTCTAAGGCGGCGCATTTAAGCTTGACGTGATTGTTAGCTCTGCGCTCTCGAGAGAGGCGCGGGTTCGAACCCCGTAGCTGCCAATATCTTTACCTTTTTGCTGCACAGGGAGGGAGATGGTGATGGTGATGCGGGTGGTGTTTCTTTTTGGCGATGGGGTTCGAGGGAGGGGGTCGAGAAGATTTGTTGTCTTCTGTTTTGTTTACGGCACCCCTTTTCTTTTCTTGCTGGGTGTATGTCTTCGGCTTGTGGGAGACATGACACATAAGCTTCACGGGGTGGCGATTACGGCAGACATATCTTCCTACTGGCCTGAGCTTTCCAGGGGGGAAGAAGCAGGTGTGGGGGGAGGAGAGGAGGGAAAATGGATTTCGCCTGTGAAGGGGGACATAGGTCAACGCGGGGAGGCGGAGAGGTTGGAAGTGGGATGGTAGTGACGGGAGTAGGGAGACTCGATGCTCGAGGATGTGATCAATCGATTTCCGGGGTGTCTCTGGCAACATGTCATGGAGGACGGCATTCTGGTGTTTGTTTCCTTGGTTTCTCGGCAGCTCGATGAGATAGACACAACATTGAAGTGAGAAACTTCAAAACTGCAACTGATATTGGAGCGGCAAGCTCGGACTGGAGTTGGGGGAACAATCCCACGACATGTTATCAACAATGCCCTGCTGGTCAAGTTCAAGATTGAAGGGGTGTTGGTTGTTGTTGAGACGGAAGCATCAGGACCCCCGTGTCAGGCAGCATGGCTTTGTGTTACCACATGGAGACTGTTGAGCTTTTTGTGATGGAAACACTCCATACGTCGAACCAGGCTTGCAATGTGGTGATACAAGCCAGCTGTGGTTGCGATTCGATGGCAGATCAGAGAGAAGGATCTGTGAAACCACGCCACAGCTCTGATACTGGTTAAACTCAGAGCAACAGCAGAGCCCCCGCGTCATGCCGCGGTGTCTCTTTTGTCCGTCCTCTTGATACCCAACCCATCATCTTTCCGGCAGGCAAGGGAAGGAGGAGAGCTTGCTGGTGGTGGTTCGAGAGACGCCGGTCAGGAATCAAAATCAGGAGGACTTGGACTCTTGGCCTATAAAACGGCCGGTCCGTCCAACTCTCTTTCTCACGTCCAAGACCACGAGTAGCTCTCCAAGCACTGCAGACCAACCTCAACTTCCAAACCCATCCTTCCCAACAACCCATCTTTGCCACCCCCAGCACCCAGTCCCATCCTCCAAAATGCCGTCCAAACACCCAGCCTTCTCCATCTCCTGCGAGCACACCGACGCCGCCTTCCTCTCGCAGCCCGTTCTCCGCGCCCTGCGCCCGTACCTCGATGCCTTCAACGCCAAGAACTATGCCGTCCTCCCGGACTTCCACACGCCCGACTTCGTCTTCGTCGGCCCCGCCGGTGAGGCCACGGCGGGCCGCGACGCCGCCCTCGCCGCCATGACGGCGGGCGTCGCCGTGTTCGCCGACTACCGCTGCGAGGTGCGCTCCCTGACGGGCGCGCCGACGGGCGAGGGCACGCTGCGGTTCGTGTCGACGGAGAAGCTGTTTGCGGACTTTGCTGGCGGCGAGGGGGAGCGGAAGTATACTGATTTGGCCGGGAGGGGGTGGGATGTGGTCGGGGAGGCGGCGTGGGTGTTTGATGTTGTGGAGGAGGAGGTCGGGGGGAAGGTGGAGTACAAGGTGAAGAGGACGCAGGTGTTTGCGGATTCGATGCCGATTTTGAAGGAGGCGGTTCTGAGGGGGGTGGTGTCGTTGGAGAGTTTGGTGGGTTAAGGGGAGCGTAATCAGTAGCTCTCGGCTGGAAGGAGTTGTTGGGGACGGTGCCTTCGGTGAGAGGTGAAAAGTCAGTTTGAACTTTGGATGGAATTCAAGTGATTAAGGGTCTGAAAAAGATGTCACGTTTTCAGTGAAATCCTAAACCTGCCAACTAAAAAAGAGCCAGCACCGGTCCAGTCTGTTACCGCTGTACTAGTATCATGCGATGGCATTTAGTCAATCATCGATATGGGTGGCCACTGGCGAGAGGATGGGTTCGTATTGGGGGATATATAGGAGCAAGGGGACAAACGGGATGGCACGGGGGCGTGGCAGGTTGAGTTTGATTGTATCGAGCCCTTGAATGTTGAAAAACTTGTTGTTGCCTTAGACAGGGCCTCCTCTCCAGGCTCTTTCTTTCTTTTCTGAATATATTCGTGATCCATCATCGGCCGACAAAAGTCCAAGGCAGCATTTCGCCGGCCTCCAGACCCGTAAATTCCACCCGCACCGTCTCCCCAGGCATCACATCAAACCCATTGTCGCTGACCGCAACCCCCTGCCTCTCCGAAAATAGAAACCCCTTGACCGGTTTCTCGGTCGAAACCTCGATAACCCCTTCCTCCACGGCCTCAACTCGCACACCCCGGTCCGACAGGTCGAGATACTTGATCGGAGCCGGCCACGACACATCGCTCCCGACCTTCTTCCCCTCAACCCACAGCGTCACCCAGATGACAAAATGCTCCTCAACCCCCTCCACCCTCTCCTCGACCACCACCTCCGTACACCCGTTCCCCCCAATCTTCACCTCATACTCGCTCTCCCTCAACATCCTCCCCGTCTCCACCCCCACAAACACCACCTTCACCGTCCCCCGACCCCCTTCCACTCTCGAGTTCACCACCCAGACATCAAAAACAACTTCTTTCATCCCCCTCGGATCAACATGCCCCGTATCCCTTTTCCACGTCCCATCCTTCCCCCTCGTCGTCCAGTCCCACACCCCCCTTGTCACCGCCACCGACACCGGCGCCAACGCCCTCTTCATCGTATACCACGCCGCCTTCCTCACCCCAAAGTAATCCACCACACTCCACGACGTCCCCGGCCACGCATCATTCGCCTGCCACACCAACACCCCACCACATCCCCTCTCCCCTCCGTCCCTCCCCCAGTTCCGCCGCCAGCTCTTATACGCCCACCCCAGCGCATCCGCCTGCATGACCTGACTGAGATGCACGAAACCCTCCAGATCCCTCCCCCCGAGGTCAAGCCGGAAGTTCTCTCCCAGGTACGCCAACACCCTCCTCGTATGCCCGACGGCCTTATTGTGGAAGTCAAGCGTCATGCTCCCCGGGTAGCGTTCCTTCGGGTTGGTGATGAACCGGTGGATGGTATCGACATGTGGAAGCGCGGACATCCCGAACTCACTCACGAACCGCCCGCCCATTTCTGGGAGGGCGTAGCGCTGGTACGGCACGGCAAGGCCGTTGTAGACGTCCCACTGGTGGATGTCGCCGATGGTCGGGTCCGTGACGAGGGTGGTGGAGTGTCCGTCGCCGAAGGGGGAGGAGGGGTGGTACGGCACCGAGGGGTGGTGGGTGGTGACGAGGGAGGGGAGGAGGTGTTCGTAGATGTATCGCGCGGGGAAGTTTGTGCGGAGCCAGGAGGCGGGGTCCTTGTCGGATGGGTCGTAGTTTAGGTGGGGGTAGCGCTCGGGGAGTTGGTAGTCCTCGTTGTTGCCGCACCAGAGGACGAGGGAGGGGTGTTGGCGGAGGCGGATGATGGCTTGGGTGGCTTCGGTGGTGATGGAGGACAGGAAGGAGGGGTAGGTTGGGTAGGAGGCGCACGCGAACATGAAGTCTTGCCAGACGAGGAGACCAAGGGCGTCGCAGGCGGCGTAGAATGATGGGTGCTCGTAAATGCCGCCGCCCCAGACGCGGATCATGGTTTGGTTGGAGGCGGCGAGGGTGGCGAGGAGGGTGGTGTAGGCTGAAGGGGTGAGGGAGGGGAAGAAGAGGGAGGCGGGGATCCAGTTGGAGCCGCCGCAGAAGATGGGGGTGCCATTGATGCTGAAGTAGAAGGACCGGCCGATTGAGTCGGGGGCTTGGATGAGTTCGGCTTTGCGGAAGCCGAGGGTTTGAGTGTGGGTGGCGGTGGTGACGTGGGAGGAGAGGACGGCGCGGATGCGGTAGAGAGTTTGAGGGCCGTAGTTGCGGGGGTACCATAGTGAGAGGCCACCTCCGCTCAGGGTGAAGTTAGTGGTTGTAAGATGGTTGGGGTCGCGAGATGGGTTTCGGAGAGGTTGGATGGAAGAGGTTTGCAGGACGTTGTCCTGGGCGTCCAGTAACTCGACGACGAGGTTGGCGTCGTCCAAGGAGCATACGGATTCAACTGAGACAGATATTTCTCCTGGCTCGCCACGAGAGATGTCGACTTCGTAATCCACCCTCATGCTCTCGATTCGACAGACATATGTCTCGATGCGAATGGGCTTCCACGGTCCACATGCCATCAAGATCGGACCCCAGTCCCAGCCCCAGTGATACTGCGCCTTTCTCACTGGCCCACGGCCGACTTCGGTCTGGTGCACAATGAAGTCGTGTTCGGGATGCTCCTTGACCAGTTGCAGGCCACGCTTACGGGCCGAGTCAAAGGTAATCTCGAGCGTGTTGACGGCATTGTCGGTTCTGTCTGTGGCCAGGTACTCGTTGACATTGACGCGGTGGGAGATGAACATGTTGTCGGCCTCCAGGATGACCTTGCCGTTGAGAAAGACCGTGGCAAAGGTGTCGAGACCTTCGAAAACGAGGTCCGCCGTAACTGTCTCTGTGGGAGTGGCGTCGAGGAAGTCTCTCGGGGTAGGAAACGTGGTGCGGTATTCCCATTTCTGGTCGCCGACCCATCTGACTTCCAGCTCGTTGAGGTCAACAAAGGGGTCCGGGATGACGCCGTGCCGCATGAGGTCGGTGTGTACCTCTCCGGGTACTGTTGCTGGACGCCATGGTGTGTCTGGTTCTGGTGAGTCCGAGGCGGGGGAGCAACGTAACTCCCAGTTGCTTGTCAAGTCGTGCGTCATGGTTGTTGTTTGAGGCAGCTTAAGAGGGGACTGGAAGATGTAAGGTGGAAGGGGGGACAGAAGGATGGTGTCTCCTGGTGGAAGCTCAAGAGATGCATGTGTCTTACTCCTCCAACTCCGCATCTTGTGGGTATGGGGACATCAAATCCCCGCTTTCAGACCTTAGACACCAATGGGGGTGATCCTCAGGAGCCCATTTGTGATCCAGTCTCGCTCTCTTCGTTCCTCGGTGCAATGTTA